CCTTAGGAATCTGCTGGAGTTAAGATCTGGATTTCTTGATAGAAAGGGAATTAGAGAAAAGGGGATTTCTTGATAGAGGGGGAATAGGAAGAAATGTGAAGGCAATAGGAAGACAGGTTTCAAATTTTTAAAAAAATCACTGAAGCAAACCAGAATTCTATTAATATTTTCTAGGGCAATGACTGCAGAGGAGAAACTGGTTTTTAAGACATTCTCTTCTATGGAGAATAAAATAGTGGTTACCAGAAGTGGAGGGTGTGGTTGGGAAATGGGAGGTGCAGATCAAAGGACACAAAGATACATAGGATGAACAAGTCTTGAGATCCAAAGTACAGTTTGGTTTTTTTTGGTACCGGGGATCGAACTTGGGTCCTTGAGCTTGCGAGGCAGGCAGCGGAACCACTGAGCTAAATCCCCGGCCCTAAGATCCAAAGTACAGTTTGAGGACTCTAGTTACTAAAATTGAATCGTATTAGGGATTTTTGTTAAATAAGCAGATTTTAGCTGCTCTTGTCACAAAAATATCAACTATGTAAGATGATAGATAAATTAATCTGCTTCACTGTAGTAACCACTTTACTATCTAGATATATTTCATAACATTGGGTTATAAATCTCAAATATATACAAAAAATTGATTAAAACAAAAGTATATCCACCGATCCAGTCTTATCCTCAGCTGCAACACACAATAGATGCAGGTAAGAAGCAGGAAAGAAGAATTAGAAGATGGTAAATGTAAATCATGAATGCTGAACTGTCCATGCTGCAACCCAGAGATTGTGCATGTATATTGAAGGACCATGGTTTCCTCTCATTTTGGAAAAGGAAAGGTTTAGAAGAGAAGAGTCTTTCTTCACTTAGGAATGATGTAGCAGTTGTTAACTTTACAATCTTGATGGACAGACACAGTAGTGGTGTTCATTTGCCTAACAACCACAGAGAGGATCATTCCCATGGCAGCACCCCAACAGTGGGATCCCACACTGCTGTAGGGATTTCCTATATTCTTTAAAGATTTTATTTCATGTAGTTTACACTCAAATGCCATTCAACATATTGCTGAGTATTTAGAGCTTGCTGGTTTTTTTATTCCTCTTCAAATCATGGAATTAATGAGTTTTTGCCAAGCAGCTACATGATTTAGCAGAAAGAACAAGGGTTGGGTGATTGCTATTGGTTAATTTTGTCTTTTCTAACTCATGCAAACTTACTGAACCATTCATAATGTGGGAGGAATTACATAATGTATGTTAAATATTATACCAACTATAAGGCACAAAACTATTTTCTATCACATCAAGGGATATTTTAATTAGTATTAAATTGGACCTGGCATTTTATCTAAATGTTTAATAAGTTAAATATATATTGTACAAGCTGAGTTCTCTTTATCTATAAAATAGCCTACTTTGCCTTTAGCTTTAATCATAGCCTTCCCTAAAAAAAGTTATGATAATGGGAATATTGCTAATCCTGCCAGATATCCAAGAATAATAGGAAACCATACCTTCAAAAAAAAGAATTCTTTGTAATGAAAACCTTTAAGATAAATAGATGTTTATTAGTGTCTATCACAGGACATTTTCCTTCTACATCCCATTTTTAACAACTTGAGTAATAAAAGGTAAAGCAGATGAGAAATCAAAATATCACCTTTATAACTGAAAGTGAAGTTGGGGAAATATAGCTTAATGGGACAGCCTAATGTGCCTGTTAGCCAATGGCAGAACTAGAATCCTTTACCCACCCAGGCCCTCTTGCTCTCCTTCACTATATGGGAAGAGAGTGTCCCAGAAGGAGCAGAGAATGCTTTTCCTTTGGAACTTGCTTCATCTCAAGGAGGGCAAAACTAGGTTATCTGTGCCCATTTAAATTCTTTAAAATTTACCAACAGAACAAATCACCACACCACTGCCACCTTTGGGTGAAGTGAGTAAAGGGCAGACAGATGCCTCCAGTTACATCTAATTATGTTCTCTTTATAAGGAGAAAACATTAAGAGTAGTGAAAAAACATTCCTCATCACCTTTCTCATTTTGATCTCCTCACCTTTATGGTTTAGTACTCAATTGCTCATGGGAACCGGACCAGCAATCTTTCAGAATATTTCTGTTCCCATCTTTAGGTCACTTTTCCCAATAAAGATCACTGTGCCTCTGATAAAAGATTTATAGATGTACCACAGTTGTAAAATCCAACAACACTGATCTCATAATCTGCTAGAGGTCCCTTAAAATACCACAAATTCAGTGACTTAAAAACAGGAATTTATTTTCTGAAAATGCTGGAGGCAAAAGTCTGATGGCAAAGTGTGGACAGAGTTGGTTTCCTCCTTGGCTTGCAAACTGCCATCTTCTTGTGTTTCACGTGGTCTTTTCTTTATACCTGTCTCTATTCTAATCTCATTTTCTTCTGAGAACAACAGTAATATTGGATCCTATTACTTCATCAACTTGATATCAACACTTTAAAGACCTTATCTCTACATATAGTCAGATTCTGAGGTCCTGAGTTACAGCACCAACATATGAACGGGAAGAACAATATATATTTCAGTCCATAACAATTGCAATGCCCCAGTTTTAATATAAAGCCCCTTTTCTGCTTCAAATTTCTAAGGAGAATTTAATGTTAAAATCCCATTGCAAGTCGACATTCAAAGACTCTGTAGTCCAAAATGCAATTATCTTGACCTGAGGACTTAGAAGCTTAAAGTCCAAAATTCCTTTAAATTAAAAGGCAAAGACTATTGTCTCTATGCCTTATTCTGCATAACATCAGCCCATAGGATTTTCAGTACCTCAGTAGAGTTAGGGTGCTTTCAACAGCTGCTACCTGGATTTTCTTCCCCTGGAATGTGTACAGTTTCTTAAGAGACTCAGAATTTATAACATCAAGATGCTCATATGCCTCAAATTTTTATAGAATCCAAAGAGTTAATAGGACATGCATTTCTTTCAGGTCTCACATCTGCCAAATTTAGAAAACAAGCCCAAAATGCAGGAAACAGATATGTTTCCAGGGTCTAACACAGAATATATAT